TAATTTAGAACACGGAGTGTACTGCAGTGCTAGGAAGCTTGTTACTATACTCTCAACCAAAACTAGTGTTAGTTGTGCTAATGTCACGTCAAGCCTAAGCCTAATCGCATAAAACTTAGCAAAGCTTTAATAACTGTGTGTTTCCTTAGCTACTCACATAAGCATAGCCTATGCAAATTAACATGGAACTCTATGAGGAAGTAATAGCTAAGCTTTGTATATTTGGTTGCTTATAGTTTGGTCTTGATCAGATGCACAGCTTTCTATGTCTAGGCCCCTAACCCAGTGGTATAACGTTCTCAATGCATGCAAACACAAAACACTTAGCCCAGCTCTATGCCAATACTGGTGAGCCGAATAAGCTCCACTATATATCACACCAGTGTGCAAGTAGTGTCACACCTAACAGTTTAACACTGGCAACCTATATACACTCCCAGTGGCTGATCTCTGCTATAATTTCCATTTGACTTATTTTCAAATTTTTATGCAGACACAGGATTTAAGTCAATACGCCTAACTATGAAGTTTTATCAACCTGTGCTATTACTGTAATCACCACCTTAGACACGCATCCATGCATCTCCTATGTGATTACCATGTAGAATGATATCTATACCTTACGTTTAACCAGTTTTGATATAACCAACTGTAGGCAACTATTACTACCCATTTATTGTTGTCTATGCGCATAATCTAGGAACAGGATGCTAGGAAATATGACATAATAAATTAATATCTATTGTAATCATAACTTTTATTTTACTTTAGGCACCAACATATGCCATGCAATACGTTATCTGATATTCAGTTCTAGAAGCAGCATGTCCTCTTCGAATATATATAAAAATTGTGCAGTAATCTTTGCAATGTATGGAGAAATGTTGTCACTTTTTGATGCTATTCTTTGACTTGTCTCCTCTTACTTGTTGTACTTGCATAATAAAATAAAATAAAGAATTATAAAAAAAAAAAGAAGGGACACTGTGGACCTCGGAACAACTTTATTTTAATGAAGCAGTTTTGGAGCATAGATCATGACCTTGCGGTCTCACTGCTCAGTTCTATGCGATGTAGGAGATAAATCACTTTGTTTGTGCAGCGCTAGTCACACCTCCCTGCATGTGACCTACAGTCTTCCTAAACACTTCCTGTAAAGAGTAATCACTTCTTTTTTTTTTAAATTCTTTTTTTTTGCGTTGTGCTTACGTTTACATACATGTTTACTCTGCCACAGCAGCAAGAGTCATAATTTTCAAGTGGTTCAGTTAATGTACCATTATGGCATTTGAGGTTTGTGCACATTTTTAATTTTAGTATAAGACAATAGGTGGAAGGATGTGTCTCAGCAGGAGTGGTGTATAGGGGTAACAGTTTTAGTTTTCAAGGTTACCGGGTGCGGCATTACAGGTGTTCGTGTGGTGTTGTGCCAGGATGTCAACTATTGTGAATAGTCAATAGAGCTGTGTGGTGGTTGTGTTCAGGTGTATTATGTCTCTGGGCTCATAGCGGCTCGTGGTACCGGGTGGCCCAGCTCACTGTTGAGGTTGAATATGATAGGGTTGCTCAGCATGTCTTATGTGAGCGGGCCTTATGTCAAGATGTCTCGGTCAGGCTGTAGGTGAACGTGTGTTCGGTCTTTGGTGGACTGGTGCCCGTGTGTCTAGCGTCTAGGGTTTCCCGGAGGATGGTGTACTCCTGACCTAAGGGGTGGCGGGGGGGGAGCTTGTGGAGTTCCTGCCTCCCCGACCATTGTGTGAAGCTATCAGTGTGTATCGGTCATCTGTGGGTTAACGTTTCCATGTGTGCTGTCAGGTGTATGAAGCTCAGTGACATACGTCAAACAAGGTAATAACAATACGGTAATTATAAACATAAGAGAATTTTTAAGAAGAAACATTCTAAAAGAAAACCATAAGTCTTCCGTGGCTGGAGCAATCATTTACACCGTCCCTTCTCCAGGAACTTTGTGTGGTTTGTGAGAGTTCTTTCTAGCCTTTGTCCTTCAGGTGGCCCGATTTGTCGGTACCATGTTTCTCGAGGTGAATGGTACAGTGTTGTCTGGGTCCCATTCATCACTTCTTTTAGAATTTATCTCCTGCACTGTTAATACATTGCTAGATCCTGCAGGAGCCTCTTGTATGCGATTAAATATTACACAGCAGGAGATAAAAATGTTTAAGTTACATCTCATTGAAAGTGAAACCATTTTTTTCACGTAGGCTGTGTCAGTCACATCCGGGGGAGGTGTGATTAGGGCAGCATAAACAGAAATAAATACAAGTAATTTTGACTCCTGGGTCGCAGGGTGTTGGGCAGTGGCACTGAGGGATATGATTGATTCGTTAAGCTAAAGTTGTTTTGGTGACTATACTGTCCCTTTAAGTTTTTACTTTGGGTTCCAGCTAGTCCACAGTATCCTTACTCCCTGTATCCCTTGCAAGGCTGCCCAAACATACTCTCCTTCCTCTGCACAACATCATAGAGCAAGAACCTGGTGGGGGGATCCATGGGCCTGTTAAAGCGTCTGCAGTTCTATGGACCCCAATGGTACGCCACGTTGCATGTAATGGGCTAGATTATGCGTAAATCTTGCTGGCAGTGGAGGTGTTTATTGTAAGTAGATTCAATTCTGATGAATTATTTTAAAATAATGTGGAAAAATGTAATATATTCAATGACCTTTTCTGCAGTTAGAACAACTGTGTGAAAATATATAGTTGTTGACAGAACGCGTTCTATGTGTACGTTTTGCTAACCATTTCCTTTTAATGTGATGCATGGTCTTAAAAGGTGTGATGTGTTTGGGTACAGTAAATGATACTGAATAAAATAATTGTAAAAATTGTTTAAATTCTTAAAACATTACTCCAGGTGTTCACACTATTTTGGGCAAAATATAATGGTTAGATTACAGCGAAGTATGTAATTTTTTTTTACATTTTTTTTTTAAATTCTGAGACATGTAGCTGTGAATTTAATTGCATTTCCCTGGAATACTTGCTTTGTGCTTTGAATATGCTATGTTGAAGGAACACTCAAAGCACCATAACCACTTAGGCACACTGTGGTTGTTGTGATGCCTACCCATTGTAAGTAGTTTTAAACCATTTAGAAAGGTTTGCATTCTTACTTTTGGGTGTGATCTAGCCCCCTGCATTCACAAATGTCTCTATGGTGCAAGTAGTGGAGGCGGGGATGGGTGCCTAGTTGTCCCGTGATAAGTCACTGTACTAAAACCGCTTTGCTACTTACAATGGGAGGGGGAGCCAAACCACCCCTGGCGTAATAATCTCTAAGCGTGCTCCTGTGCTTTTGGTGCTGGGAGAGTGGCAGTGTTTCTTTAATTCAGCACCTGTTATTTCCTTGTTTAAGAACTAATTTCACATATTGCAAAGTTTGTGAATTTGCAGAAATTGCAAAATCTTGAAATGTTGAATATAAATATTGTTTTTAACTTCTTGTTAAATGGCTTGACATTAAAATGGGAAACTATGGAAAGACAAAAAAAAAATAGAATACAGTATAAAAAATAAATAATAAATAGTGAGTATTTCCAATGTACAATAGGCATTTTGCCAAATTCGGCTTCCTTGGTTGGATAGGTGTGATAGGAGTAGTTCGTTATCCAAGTCTTTAAATAGGGGAGAGATTCATAATTCACTGGCTTTTTGTATGTGAAAAATCCCATTTTCAAATTAAATTACTCTTGCTGCTTCTCTCCTGCTTCTTGTTGTTATGGTTTCTCCCTCATCACCACCTCCACATTTTAGAATACTTTTTTTTCCTACTCAGTGTAGGTAAGGTTCACTTGTACAGTACAGTGTGCATATTACTAAAGGGGAAAAATCTGTCAATTTCTACAGTGACTGAAAGTGGTTGTAGGTGACACTGGCAGTAGCAGCTAGGCAAGTGGAAATTAGTATATTTTTCTGTTTTCCTTTTTTTATTCAATCGATGATGAGTTTTGTAACTGTTCTTGACCAACCTATCTTTGTTGGAGACTGCACTATCCTCACCACCCCCTGCTCTTACTAAGGATGGTGGTGGTGGTATTTGTGTCGGATGATCAGATACAGCACCAGTGGACATGCAGTCTACCCTAGTACCTTTTTGTTTTGCTTCTACTCTTAACAGTATAGACTTGTTGTGTCTTTGCAGATGTTGTTTCATACAGCCACCTACTCACTTACTTGCTGCCCAATTTGCACTTCTGGTGGGCACTCAAAGGGATCTCAAACTTCATTGGCACAATAGAGTATGCTCAACCCTTTACTTTGCATCAGCTGAAAATACAGGTTGATATGCATAGATTTACTGCTGTTGAGTCTGAAAAGAATCTCCAAGTCTAACCTTAACCCTTGAAAAGGTGTCAACTTTGCAATTAAACTTTTTTTTTCTTAAAATGATCTTTCTTTAAATTAGACAATCCATAATTTCAGTGTCAAATATGAAATCAACTTCAACATAATTTAATAAACTCTAACTCTACCACTAAAGCTAATATTAGAAAAACCCAAATAGTCATGATCCCTAAAAACTACCCAAAATTTTAAATAGTACTAATAAAGGATTAGTTATTAGGGTTATCATTGGAGCAAGTCTAAACTGCTCCACACGATATATCTCCTATCAAACCTTCTGTGTAACATCAGTTTGTAGTTTTGACTTTGTATTATTTGACCCTTGACTGCTGATACCTCCATAATGTATATACCCATGTTGTCCCCTACCATCAATAAATAACACAACACCATGTTAGTGGGTAAGGACAATGGTCACAGCTTTACTTTCCGTTTACCAGCAAAACCACCGCTGTCAGCTGCTGGTTTTACCCAGCAGACAGATAACATAACTTTATAACCAGAGCCTCTTCAGCCTGCAATTCGTGATCCACCAAATCAGGCTGCGACTCCCCAAGCACGTCCGGGCAGTGTCCTTTCATGGTGTAGGAAACATCTTCCCATCCCATAAACTGGATAAGGAAGGAAAGGGCTGACATGTTATGCTCTACCGAAGCCACTGATGCTCCTGCAGAATGCAAAGCAGACAGAAACGCCAGCGTAGCGCACAACCTTCCATTGGATGATGATAAATCAAACTCCCCTACCGAAACTGATATCCATTGTTCCCATACCGATCCATATGCCTGCCAGGAAGAAGGAGCCAATGACCCTCTGATTAGTTCCATTAAGTTCCGATATCGAGGTTCCAGAAGAAGTCTGGACACATCAGGCCTGTCGCGCCGGCTCTCTGAGCTATTTCCCGAAAATGATCCCACTGCAGCCGAGACAGAGAATCCTCAATAGAATTATAGACCCCTGGAACATGAACCACACAAAACCATATGTTAAATTCTAGACATTGCAACACCAACCGCTGTAAGAGAGCTAATACTGGGGGAGACCCTGATGACAGCTGATTTACCACATGAACAACACTCATATTGTCTGTCCAAAAGAGAACCTGTGTGTTTGCGTAAACAGAACCCCATAGCTCCACTGCCACAATCATGGGAAACAGTTCCAAGAAGGTTAAGTTGTGGAGCAAGTCCTCACCATTCCATGTCGAATGCTATCGACCCGCACACCAGTGTCTCTGGAAATATGCACCGAACCCAATAGTTCCTGAAGCGTCAGTGAACAGTTCCAGGATGGAGTTGGCTACCGATTCGGTACGCCAACAGGTATGCCTATTATATCCTGACAAAAATTCGCTCCACACACCTAAATCCACCTTTAAATGACGCGTTATGTGAATGAAGTTGAAGGGGGGATGAATGCCCACTATCGCTTAGGGAGAGCCACCGGCTAAAAAATCAGACCCATAGGCATAACACAACATGCAAAATTTAAGTATCCCAGGAGAGATTGAAGTTGCCTAAGCTGATCCTTTCGAGAACCCTTAACTAAATCCACCGTGGACGACAATAACTACAATTTTTCCTCCGGAAGACCGAACTCAAGTCAGACCTGTCATGATTCACACCGTGCCATCCAGATGGCTAAGCGTGGCCATTTCACGTGCCAAAGAGGGGATTTGAACTGTGGTCCTTCTGTGCTATAGTCCTTCGATCTTGACTCCGGGCCACACATCAGTTTTTATTGCTGTATCATGTTTATCCTTGCCTTGTCTCCAGCACTGGCGGCTGGATTTTACCTGGGGCTGCTCCTATCAATCTCATCCCACCTGAAGCCCAATAAGCCAGGTATAAGACACTGCCTCTCCCTGAGGGCAGTGTCAGTTCATTGACTCTGGTTCCTGTGTTTGTGATCCAGTGTTCTCCAGTTGGCTCCTGACCTTGGCTTATTCTTATTGTGTGTCCTGACCTCTGGCATCCTCTGATTTTGGCTTACCCTAGTTTATGCTGACTTCTGGCACCCTCTGACATTTGACTTATCCTCAACGATTCTTCTGCTTGTGCCTTTGCCTGTACTGTGACTTGGAGCAATATCCTGCACAGACTCACAGACTCACTGACTCACTTTCCGACCTTCTCCATTCGAACTTCCGACTCCGGAAAGCCAACTGTTTGGTTCCCTTTGGGACTTTCTTTTGCAACCAGAGCCTGTGACGTCCGCGAAGGCTCCCGAACGGACGTCACATACTTACCCCGCTGATACTGGCGAATGTCAGTTCACTGATCAGAGCGTGCGGCTGCACACACCTCCATCATTTCCTGTGAAGCCGGAAGAGACGAGTGCGGACTGCGAGATCTCTCCAACCATCCAGTGCCATCTAGTCGACTTGAGCTGCCATCTTGGGGAGAAGGCCCAAACCTGGATCCCCGATGCCTGGAACATCTTCCCCACCTCCTTCTTGCTCCGGAATTAGACGTCTTGCGCTGTGAACCATCAGCGCTCGGTCCTGGACTCATGGAGGACTCAGGTGCAGCCCTTTGACGCCTCACAGGACTAGGAGATGGCCTGGAGCGACGGGCCCATTTCCTAGACCAAGGGGAATCCACCTCTGTTAGTGGTACCATGGATTGAGGATCAGGAATGACACCCGACAACAAGGAGGTGTAGGAATCCGCTCCATGGGTCCTATGGAAGGACTGCAACAAGGTAAGCAATGCTTCCCTAGACATGTCAGCTCCACCAGCCAATGAAAGTGGGTACCATAGCCTATATCAACTAATAGTAAATGAGAATTAAAGTAATCTCTTTTGCTGACAGGATCTCCACAGGAAAAAGCACCACCGGGATCCCTCGACTATGCTACAGTGGACTGGTGAGTTCTCCCTGAATTCCCAGCACCTAGCTCCTGTCTCATACTTTGTAATAATTCTGTTACCATGCCAACTACTCCGGCCAGCAGTCATGTTCCCCCCTCCTTAGGCAGTCTGGGGGTTGGCCTCTAGGGCCATCATCACACTTTGGAAATTTTGATACTTAAATACTTTGAAAATATGTATCAAGGCAAAGCACATACTATTTTGGATGCAAAGTTCTAAATGTTGAGAGACATTCTCTTGGTTTCCATAGTGATTGCTCCTTATTTAGCCACAGAATACATGTTTGTACCTTGATAAGTTTTCCACAGCATTAATTCCTGCTTTTTTGCTTGTTTAATATAGTTGCTAAATGACTAAGTCATTTCATTTTGGAACTGGACATATATATTGTATGTATGTATGTTTATATATATATATATATATATATATATATATATTCAATCACAGACCTTCTGGTGCAGCTCAATGAGAAGTTTTTACAAGGCAGGTGCTTTAAACAATTGCTGCCTCTTGAGTTTCACAGAGCTAACCAAACCAGGAAGTAACATATATATGTTATCAAGTACTGTAAATAGTATACTGTGACCATAAGAAGGGTGTAGTGCATGATCATGCTAACTTGGATGTCTGTACTAAGTTATATGAATTATTGTTTTTGTAGTTTTTTTTATTTGTTCTGAAATTCACATGTAGACAAGTACAAACTTGTAGACAAATTAACAGTATTACCTTTTCATTATGGTTTTTATTAATATACACCAACACAAGTAAATATGAGAGAGAGAGGGCAATATGACAGGATGGACAGACAGACAGATGGATAGATAGTAGACTGATTACGCACAATATTCTCAGGTTGAATGGTTGCTAGTCAGTTAGAATAGTCTATAATTTTGCTTCAATTGTTTCTCCTCTACAGGAGTTGGATTAGCAACACGAAAGTCTGCAGATGTGATTGTTTGCCATTAGATGCAGCTTCAGGCTGCTGCTGTACGCTTTTCATCATGAGGATCCAAATCCAAGTCGGTGAACCAGGGCTAATGATCATGCTCTTCCTACGAGACATCAGAGTCCAAGTCTGTATGAGTTAATCCTTTTTGTCGATGATTAGATGTTTTTTTCCTGCTTTAAACTTCAACTAGAAATGTGTTTTTATTGCAAAACAGAGAATACTTTCTAGTATTAGCTGAAGTAGTCAATACAAATTTTTTGGGACAACCGATTTTAGGCTGAATGTCAGTTTAGAGATTCTCACTTGGAAAATGGAATTAGAAGAATTGAAAAGGGCCAATCAGTGTTCTGCAAAATATAGACAAAATATAATATTATGTTGTGACAGAACCATCCTTCTGTCTATTGTGGTGGATTCGTCTATTTCCTGCCCCTTCGTGTAAATGGCTGTTTCCTATAGCCCAGCCATAAGAATGACTGTTTTTTCCCGAACAAAGCTACCGAACGGATGGCCACCCAGGATAGAAGTGTGCTGCTGGTTAACCTCTTGATCCCAAACGTTGTGGTTAATCGCAGACACTTCTCAATTAAACCGAATTCCGGGTGGCCGTCGTTCGTATGTTGACCACGAGGCAGCGGCCATTTTAAAACGCACGAAAGCCCAGCGGTGTTTGGCTCTGATTTCATGGAACTAAAAATGGACACTCTTTCTGCCGAACACCGCTGAAACAACGGGTCGCCTGGCTGTCTCGACGAAAGCGTACGAACACCGGACGTTCGGGAGTTTACCACATACGAAAAGACTTAACCCAGATAGCCTTCCCATGGAGTCAATCTCATACCGAAAGACTGTAAGAACTTTGACTCCATGGCGATTGAACTATGTGTGTGGGATCTGAGCGCTATTCGCCAATAATATGCACTCAGATCCAGGCAATCTGGGGATATGTGATGTGAATGGAAAATGTTCGGTTATTTTCAAGTTATGTATTTTTATGCACTTTTTGGTTTTGTATTTAAAATGGCGATGTGTCTTTGTCCTGGAGATAATTTAATTACTTCTCAATTATCTCCAGGGCAGAGGGGAGGGAACCATATTGCATTGTGGGAAAAGCCTGTGACTGTATATCTGAAATGTCCTCCTGTACAGCTGTAATTCCAGTCTCCCATTTGGTCCCCTAGGGGAGTATCCACCAAGTAGGAGACCTGCATAAATACGGGCAGGTAGCCCACAGTAAAGCCAGATCCTGTTTGACCCTCAATGCGGAGCTTCTGTCTCGTTATTGGGGGGATTTATTATTTGCGTCTAGAGACTGATTATTGGAACCGAAAGCCGCTTGGTGGATATCTTTGTTCGGCGGTTAGCGGCGGTTCGTGGATTTCTGTTTGGGAGTTTGGAGCCTTTCACGGATCCCGGTCGGGAGATTACCGCTTCCCCTGGTTATGGTTCGTGGATTACAGTTTATGCGAATGGATTACTGATATTGCGAAAGGGGAAGGTGAACTAAACGGCGGTTTCTCTTAAAGATACCAGGGGTGTCTTAACATATGTATTTAGCATTTTCCTGCCATTTGGATCACAGATAAACTAAGAATATGTTACCAAAAGAGGGAGAAACCGGAGGAGAGGTAAAAAAACAATATATATATTTAGATATTTATGTTATTTATTCCATGAATAAGATTTTCATTGGTCATAAAATAAAGCATCAAATTTAACATTTGTGGGTCATGCAGGACCATTATAATAAGAACTATTATTTTGCCAGGATAGCAATCTATCACAGTATTTCTAATAAGATGTAGCAATAGTTAATACAACAATTTTAATGACTCATATTTGAAGAGAAAAGTAACACGGGTAATTGACTAACAAAGAAAACTCGGGAGCACCTCCCTCTCTCATTCCTCCCAATCCCCATTCGGTCCCACTTTAAGGAGGTCGGTTTCAATACAGTCTCAAACACGGGGCCACAACAAAAGGGGCAGTGTATCAGAGGCATGGGAGGTCAGCATCCCCAGAACTCTGTTAATATGTTCTTGACACTCTTGGCCAGCGAACCGAGACTCTATCATGTGGTGACCATTTCTCCCCCTCTATTCTCTCACTACTCTTCTTGGGTCTTCTAACCTTTGGAAGTTAGTATGGTAGATGGTTGTTAGACAATGTGTCCTTATATTATATATTAATTACAGATACAATATATAAGAATATAAATATTTTTACATTTTTATTGCGTTTCATTTTCGTTTTATTTCTTACTTGATCTGTTAATAAAATTAACATTTAAAGTGAGAATTCAAAGTTCATTCAAAGTGAATTTCAAACTTTAAAAGTTGAGAATAGCTGAACTGGAAAAGTTATCTCAACCAGTTATGCTTTCAGTTTCTCTACTCTGGCCTTGAATTTGAAATTCTTTTCATATTCACTTTGAATTGTCACGTTAGTAACTAACCCTGTGAATGACTGCTTCCTAGCTAATCATCTTTTTTCCCATCAATAATCTCTTTTTTTTGGTGTCATGACCATGATCAACCTAAAATCAGACAAATTGTAGTTCAGATTGAACTGAATTTCCAGGTCTACTGGATTTTGAGATCTTTTGAAAGGCACAATATTGGAACTAAAATACTGATGCGTGCTGTGCTAATAGTTAAACACTTTGGTTCATTTTCATACTTATTGTTAAAACATATCTGTTAAGAAATAATGTCACTTAACTGGTAGATGTTTGCTGCTAAAAATGACCAACAGGTCTCCATGGTCAATACTTGCATTTAATGTCTGCACACTATTCATGTCCGCCTTTACAGATACCATTCAACACTTAGCGTTTGCGATTTTGTAAATGGATATACGTAAAAAAGGCACATTTTGATATCTATGACAAATCTTTAAAAGGCTTAGAGACTGTTTGCGCACTTCACCAGTGATTGTATGAATATGTTTCCATTAGAATTTCCATACATCCAAACTACAAAATGTTAGAGGTATTTAAATGAGAAATTTACTTTGAATTCACTTTGAAGTTTCACGTTAGTGAATCAAACTGCACATTTTAAAGTATGGAAACTGATGGTAATTGCTAAGGATATAAAAAGTCATTGTAGTGATTACTGATGAGTCGCCAAAAGATGCGACAAGAATGGAAACAATCCCTACGTCTACTAAATTATACTGCTTATTAGACTTGTGCACTGTGGGACAGTTTGGTTCGGCTGAAGCATTTTTCCTGAAAATTGAAATTCTCTTTGGGATGTGCAGGTTTAGTTTTGGGAAAATATTTGGAGGGATATTTGGACAAACCAAAAAGGTGCGAAAATGGGTAATCAGTCTACTGCAAAAATATATACAGAATATAAATATATTTTATATTTTTTCATTATTTGGTTCACAGATAAAGAGAGAAAAAGTAACCAGTAGATGGAAAAAGAAGACAAGCAATAAAATAGAATCCACATTTATATATATATATATATATATATACATATATATATATATATATATATATATATACATACATACATACATATCGATTTTTTTTTCACTTCTACTCCTTTTTTCTAATCTATAGGTAACTTCTTACTTGATCTGTGAATAAAATCAACATTTAGTAGCTGTCCCCTAGCCATCAATCACCATTTG